GGGGGGGGGGGCGTGAGAAGCGCGCCCCCCTCCTCGTACAACAGTCACATACGGCCACAGGCACACCGATGAGTCGCCCGATGAGCCGCTGCGCGCTGCGCTCGGCTGCGGCGACCCCGCCTCGCAGCAGTACCTGCCGCCCACGCCGCGCGAGACGGCGCTCGGCTGGATGGAGGAGGCCGAGGTGGTCGGGCTCGTCTGCACGCACACCTGCCTGCCGCACGGCCAGGCCTACCGCGACAGCCGGGGCGGCGCCGCCGAGTGGGGACGCGCCGTCTTCAACAATGGCAGCGCGGGGATGCCCAACTTCGAGGGGCAGCGCTTCGGCCTGATCACGCGGGTGAGCGCCGACCTACTCGAGTACAAGCCGTGCCGCCCGACTCGCTCTACGGCGTCGCCGCCGGCGGGCTGCGCTTTGATGCGCTGCCCGTGCACACACGGCTGGATGGCCCAATTCGAGGCGGTCTGGCCAGCGGGCTCCGACGCGCACGCCTCGTACCACGCGCGGCTGGTCCGCGGGCCGGGCGGCTTCACGCGGAGGCGCGGCTTCACGCGGAGGCGCGCGGCGAGAGAGGGCGTGTCTTGAGCCGCTTGTTGTATCATACATAACGACCTATGGATAGCCGCCATGATGAACACACGCGCGACCCGTGTTTATATTTTTTCTGTGAAGCCTGAAGCGTGAACGGCGTCAACGAGTTCCTCCTTGACGTGCTTCTCTGGTCAGCGGATCTTTGCACTCCAACAAATGGGCGGGACGAGCAACCCCAGCGAGGAACAGCTCGCCCTCGTGACGGCTCGCGTCATCGAAATCGCCTCGGCGATCAGCGAGACGGCCGCCTCACTCGACGGGAGCGGCTACTTTGAAGACAGCGGGTTTGACGACGAGGAGCGCGGAGCGGCTCTGTCCGCGAGGCTCTTGGAATACTGCGGGAGCGTCGAGGAGCTCGACCCGAACATCGACGACCACCCGCAGCCGCGACGCATGGCACGCTACCTCCTCGAAAATGTCGAATTTGAGGTCCTCCAGGCGCCGCTCCCGAGCGCCCTCACAGCAAAACCGAAGGAGGTGGCTGGCGAGGGAGCTGGCCTCTCAAAGGGCGTCAAATTCGGCGCGACGCTCGCCTTCGTCGCGATGCTCTTTGTTTTGGCGCTGTACAGAGATGCCGCCGCCTCCGTCTCGGCGAGCCTCAGTACATCCGCTTCGAGCGCTTCGGGGGCGATGACGCGCGCGCGGCCTTCACATCTCCACCCAGCACACCACAGGGGCACGCCCGCCGCGGGAGGTGCCGCGGGCGGGGGCGTCAGCAGCGGCTTGGGCCACCACGGCGTGGGCTACGCCACGGCCATGGAAATTGCCTTAACCGGTACCACCGGCAAGACCGCCAAGGGCGGGAGCAGGCGCAACGGGACTAAGACCGCCAAGGGCGGGAGCAGGCGCAACGGGACCAAGCTGACGTGAGGGCAGGCACTTGCCACTCATGTGCTAGATCAAGATGCCGCGAGACCGCGGCGACGCCCACCTCACGCGTCCAGGCACTCGGCTCCCGGGGTCGCGTGTTGTTTTGTGATTATGTACAGACTACGGCTCTACTTACTGGGCTGGGTTTTTTTAGGCATTGTGGGGTTGGCACTCCCATCGACCCTCATGACCTCCTGCGGTCTCTGAGATGGACACCAGTGGGTGTTAGACCACAGCCAGGATACACTCGAAGGCTGGGTAAGCAGTAGAGGTCGATACTCGACGCGTCCCACATGGTCTGTGTCGCTGTCGGCACGCTGTCGACAGGACGTCGAGCGACACCGGTGGCAGTGCCACCCAGGAGTGGTCGGGCGGTCTCCCGTCATGAGAGAGCCACCATGTGATCCGTATGATGGTTCCTGACAACCGCCTCAGTCACTTTTCGTCACAGTTCCCGCTCTGAGAGGAGCTGCGGGTCGGTTCGACAGCTGGAGCTGTGTCGCCGGCGTGCGGCGGCCTGCCTCCGGAGGTGCCTCTGAGGTGGACATTTGTTGGTCACCGTGAGAGAACTGGTTCGAATTTTTACTCCGGAACTTCAACTTCGCACGCGCACCGGCCAGGGCTACAATAGTGCCAGTGAGGCGGAGGCGCGAGTCGGAAGGCCGCGACCGTCACCGTCAACGAGTGGGCCCCATTTGTTCCGCGCCGTTTTCTCCAATACCGTGGTGTACCTGTGTTAGTGCAAGTGCGCGCCAGTCCCGTGCCCAGTGTTGTTCGAGGGAGTTTTCTTGTAAAATTCTCCAATACTGCCGTTATTAGGCACAAACTGCGGGGGGCCTCTGTGAGGACCTCTTGTGAGGACCTCTCGGTGAAGACCGCTCGACCTCTGACTTGGACCGGCCGGGGCCCCACTCCCTTCACTCTCTCCCTCTCCCTCTCGCTGGCCCAAGACAAAGCGCTTTGCTTGTCGCCCTCTCGCTGCCGGCAGGGGCTGCCACACTCCATCTCGCGACCTTTTGAGACTGTACGTTACATGCGAAGTGGAAGAGAATGTTAAGTATGTTAACAAGATAGAGGGTGGTTGTTAGTGCGGAAAGTTAAGAGAGGGTTGTTTGTGAGTGTGAGTGACAACACACACTCAGGCGCGTGAGTGAGTGAGTATTCTTGATACGAAACCACGACGACACACACCAGTCGACTCGCATCGGTTGCCTCCATGAACGGCGGAGCTATTCTCGCGCCCACACCCCACCTGGCTCCAACGTGGACACGCCCATAGCTGGGGACACTACTAGGTCACGCATGGCATCAGAAGTTTTGTCTCTGGGCCCCGAAAGGCATCTCTAGCAGTGTCGTTACGCATGCCCCCTCCCCTCCTGGGCGCATGCGCCTCACGTCTCGCCAGAGCATACGCCCTTGGTGTGCAGCGAGACGAGTTTTTCGCCATGCAGCGAGCAGCAAGCCGCCCGCCGCAAACAGCCGGAGGCATCGCCACGGCACTGACTGCGCCGCGCTCCCGCACCCGTCGACGAAACTCCCCCCGCGGAAGACCGCGCGTAGCGACGCCTTGTCGATCGAGATGGGCGCGCCTGAAGCTCGCCCACCTACTGCCCCTGAGAGTTGGTTACGAGTGGGCTTGGCTCCCCCCCTTGGGATCAAAGCTTCCACACGACCTCGCACCCAACATCTCAGGCGGGATCAGAAGGGGACTCCACACCGGACACCGCCCGCGGGCACAGCCCCCCTACCCGTCGGATCGCACAGGGCCCCCTAGGAGCAGCCCACACACAATCTCGCATCGGCAGATTGCGCCTGAGTCAGGCAGACAGCAGACAAGGAGAGGAGAGAGGAGAGAGAGAGAGAGAGAGGAGAGAGGAGAGGGTGAGGGTGTGTGCACACGTGTGGAGCAGGGAGGGTGTCTGTGGTGGGCTATAGTCATACTACGTGGTTAGAACCACGCGCCCCTCAGGAGCTAAGGTAGAGCTGAGCGTCCAAGACGCCTCGGTGCCTCCCACCGGCGTGACGACCATCCGGATCTATCGGGTTCGCCCTCCGGACGGACCCGTCCCCGCGATGGCCCACGGTCCTCCGTCGCCTGGTTGACCCCCTGCCTCCCGGTTGAACCCCCAGTCCTCGTAGTCCATCAAGCATCATGAAATAAACTCAAAGATCCACCACAGCCACCACCCTCCGCCTCCACCGTCGAGCCGCGATCGCTGCCGCCCGCGACGCCGCCCGCCGCGTCAGATTGCCGCAACGCGCGCCTCGAGTCGAGTCGCAGAGCCGCGCCGCGCCAGCAGCAGCATATGCACCAGCAGCGGCAACACACACACTCACACACTCACAGGCAACGTTTTTCTTCAAAACTCTGCCAAGCCGAGAGCGCGCACCGCTCTTCTGCTGGGCATCCCGTTGACTCCTCACGCTCAATGCACCCCACTCTCACCATTCTCGTGCATGTGGCCGCCGCCGCTGCCCTCAGCCTCGGCGGCATCGTCGGTCAGTCACCGGCGCTTGAGACGCGGCTCCTCGCTTTGGCGGCGGGAAGCAACCTTCCTGCGACGGTGTCGGCGTTCCGAGCACTGGAGGAGGCCGCTCCGCCGCCCGCCGACCTGCTACGTAGCAGCCCTGAACGCCTGGACGGTCGCTGGTCGCTGGTCGCGACGGTCGCGGCGACTGTCGGCGAGGACCTCGCTGAGTCGGTCGACAGCGGAACTGCGCGTGCGAGCGTGGTGAACGCTTCGGGCGTGGTCGTGGATGCGTCGGAGGGCACCCTCCCTGTCCAGGAGGTGGACGCGAAGCGGCGGCGGATTGGCAACGAGGTCTCTCGCCTCCCTCTCTCTCCCTCTCTCTGCCTGCATGTGGCTCATACAGCGTTCATGCCCTGAGATGGTGTGTTCAGGTCGTCCTCGCCACCCCGCTCGGCCGCGTGCTCGTCCGCGTCGCCGGCGCCTTTCTAGAGCCCCTCTCCTCGAAACCTCTCCTCGGAGCGTCCCTGAGCGCCTTCCCTGACCCTCCTCGCAACTGTCTCCGAACCAGGCGCCAGCCGCGGTTTTCTTTTTCTGCCTTGCTTTATTTTTCGATATTTATTTTCTTTTTGTACCGTCTAGGCGCGTTTGAGGCCGCGGCGCCGCCCGCGCCCGGCACGCGTGCGACGGTGTCCTTCGACTCGCTCGAGGTGTTCACCGAGGGTGGCGGCAGGCGGCTGCTCAGCGCGGGCTGGGTCTTTGCACTCGCGAGGGCGGTCAACCCGGCCCTCGCCAACGGCAGGAGATAGAGAGAGACAGAGAGGCGAAGAACAGCCGGAGACCAGGCGGCGCGGGTGGACGCGAGCGAGGAGTGGAGACGGCCACGCTGGAGCATCACACACGGACACACCGACCAGACGGTGCTTGCCTGGAGACCTCTCGAGGTTCTCGAGGTGGATCTCCTTTGGCCGCGTTGGGCATGGGAGACCGCTCGGAGCCTGCGCTGACCCTCTCCGCCCGGCCGCCTTTCTTTCAGGCGCCGACGACGCGTCGTGGCTGGAGACCACGTACCTCAGCGACAAGGTCCGGCTGGGCCGCGGCAACAAGGGCTCGGTTTTCGTCCTTCGGAGGCTGGACGACGGAGGGGGTGCGCTAGCCGCGTGGCCGCTCTGACTTGCCTCTGGACCGGCTTAGCCGGTCTCTCTCGATTCTGTGAGAAGTATTCCCAGGCGCAACCGGGAGTTCTTTTTCGTGCGAGAGGGAGTTTTGTTGTAAAATTCTTTTTCGCTGGGTGTACGTGTGTTAGTGCCAGTGCGCGCCAGTTTTTCAATGCGGGGCCAGAGCCACATCGGCGGCCATGTCTCCCGCAGCCGCGAGCGAGCAGCGCAAAGAGGCAGCATCGCGCATGCTTTTCCGAAACGTCTTCTTCTCTCTCAGTCAAATAAACCAAACCACCGGCCTTGGTGCGTGACAGGCCATCCTGCTTCCTGGACAGGCATCCTAGGTACCCGACAGTGCCTCAGACAAGCGATGTGTGCTGCACCCCAGCCCAGGAGCACCCTCGCCGCTGCCGCCGTTCTCCCTGCTGCCACTGTCCGCAGCCGTACTGTCAGACTCACCACCGCCCCCCCTCCGCAGCATGCTCCGCTTCTCGCTTGTTGCCTCCATCGTCTCTGCCACGCTCGGAGCGCCCATCGTGGCTGAAGTCGACACAAACAACAAGTTCGCCGGCGGCAAGGGAACCCACGTGGGCAGGTATAAGACAACGCTCGACTAAGTGACAGAGCGGCTACCGACATGACAGTTGGCGACGGCGTCTCTATGACTATGTGTATCTCGACACACACACGTGGGGAGAAAAAGAAAAAACCGCCACTTCGGCTGAGGGCTGAGGTAGAGCCCGACAAGCTGCCGAGCCCGATGCCCGAAGGAGGTGGGCGTGGGGTGGTCCTCACCCCGGCGGCCCGCGCACGCACGCCGTCTGAGCCTAGCGCAGCGCGAACTCGCTCTGAGCCTAGCGCAGCGCGAGATTTGCGCAGCAACCCGGCCGGGCAACCCTTGAAGACCATCGAAGGCCAAGCTTGAGAGGGCCAACTGCAGCCATTAACATGGAAGTTAGCTCAAAAAAAGAAAAAAACGGCGCAAAAAACGAAATCGCACCGCGCGGCAGATCATCGTCGGCCTCGGAGTGTCGCTTGTCCATGCTCATGTTCGCCCACCTCGCCAGCGCCGCCTTCATCGCTTCGCGCTCTGCGCTGCTGCCCACGCCTGCGACGCACCCCTCCGCTGCCGCCACGGCTGGCACGCGCGCCTGCGTCGCCACAGCTCCACGCAGAGGCGGCGAGGCGGTGATGGCCGGCATGCCCCTGCCTGCCGGCTCGCTGGTGGCGCTCGCGACGCCGATGACATCGACGGGCGAGGTGGACATCGCCACGCTGCGAGAGCTGCTGCGCTGGCACAAGGCGGAGGGTACGGACGGCGTGGTCATCCTCGGCACGACCGGCGAGGCCTCGACCCTCACGAGCGCTGAGAAGGAGGAGGTGATGGCTGCGACCCGCGAAGAGGTTGGCGGCGAGATGGCTATCCTCGTGGGCACGGGCACCATCAGCACGGAGGCGACGATCGCGGCGACCAAGCAGGCCAAGCTCTTTGGCGCCGACGCCGCGCTCGTCGTCACGCCGTACTACGTCAAGCCGTCGCAGGCGTGGCTCGTGGCGTAGGACCCTATCTCTCCCCAGATCTCCCCAGATCTCCTCCTCT